GTGAAATGGCACCAGGAAAGGTGTGGCATACTGCCGTTGTTGCACCCAGTGTAAATGTCTAGTTGACAGCTGGAACTGGACATCTGCAGATCAGCTGGAAATCAGAATTAGCAGCGGAGCCCTTTGAAGGTGTCCTGACAAGTTGTCATAACAGAAACAAGCAATGACCATTCTTTGTGAGGTGAATTTTGCATGTGTATCAGTAAGCCTTTTACTACCCACGAAGAAAAGTGATCACATCACAAAGTCATTACCAAACCTAGCACGATGATTTCACACAGTTCTAATGGACTAGGGAATCAAGTGCCACCTGGCTGGGTGACTAAGCTGGGAGTCTCTCAGGAGGTTATAGCCAAGATATCAGCCATCTTGGCCATGGTCACGTGGAGGTGTGGCTGAGCTGGAGGTCCTGCTTCTACATAGCTCACTCTTGGGATTGGTCACCCGTGGTCTGGGAGCTTTGGTTCTTCACTGGGGACTTGAATGTCCTTGAGACACACAGGAGGTAGAAAGTTCAGTGTCGTTTACAACACAGCCTTGGAACTTCCATTTTCATATCTCTACAAGGCACACCTGCTCAGTGTGGAAGCAGAATCACAAAAAAGCGCATCTTGGGAGGCAGGCACCACTGAGAGATATCTTGGTGGCTAAGTATCAAGGCCACTTGGTGTCTAGAACGTTGAAAGGAGGTGCTGCTGACTTCTCCATCTTATAGAAGTGGAATGGGGTGGGGATTAACTAAATCCTCACTTTCCATAACCCACAAGTAGGAGAGTTAAGGTTTGAACTCTGGTCTGACTGTACTGGTAGGCTTCTCATTGTTATGACAGAATGGCCACACTAAAGCATTAAGAGAGGAAAAGTTCACTCCAGCTCCTAGGTGTGGAGGTTTCAGCCACGGTTGGCTGGCTCCATTGATGCCTTGGTGAGGCAGGCCCCTGTGGTAGAAGGACATGGTGGAGGGAAGCTTCTCACTCATGGCAACCAAGAAGCAGAGGGAGAGGAAGAGACCTCAGACAAGATGTGTCCTTCTAAGGCACATCCTATTGACCTACTTCCTCCCACTATAAACTCCTTAATGTGCTAATCCATTCATGAGGTTTGCATCCTAGTGACCTACTCACCTCCTACCGGCCCAACCAACCGAGGACCAGGCCTTCAACACTTGTGTCTGTGGAAGGCATTTCATACCCAACCAGGGCACTGGCCCAGTCTTGACTCCTCTGCTTTAGTCATTGCCATGACTACCATAACCAATGCCACATAGCTGTGCTGCCACGAGAGAAACTGATTGTCACTCTGAGGACTGAAAGTCCAAACTCAAGATGTCAGCAGGCTCTGAGGCTCGGGGTAGGGGCCTGCCTTGCTGCCTCCAGCTTGCACTGGTGGCCATTAGTGGTGGCCTTGGTGTGTGGCTGTGTTCATCCGTCTTTGTCTCCATACACCCTGTCCACCCCGTGTATTTCCACACACACTATCTCCGCGTATCTTCAGATTTTCCAGAGAGTGGAGCCTCCTTTCGTGGAGGACACTGTGTGTGCCCCTTGACTGTCTTCCTGAAGGGCCTGGCTTCCCAGCTGGTGGTAGGGGCTGCAGAGTTCATCCCCAGGGACTGCTGCATCTTCGGGTCACATTGAATCACTTGGTGCCTAACCCCAGCCGTCCCTCATTCTGACGTGCTATCGTTGAACGCTGTCCTTCCTTCCCC